CAAAATCATGAAAAAGACCAGACTTACTGTTCTGATAGAGACTGGTGGAACCTTAGAGACTGTGGCCCTTAGCCACCCTTCCAACCTGGATCTGAATCCACCCCTGGGATCTTCTTTCAGTCAAACAGAAAACAGACCTATAACGTGACCAATAATACCCATGAGGAACATTCTCCTCAGAACCATATGGAACCAAAAGAGCAGCATTTGCCCCAAAACAAAACTTGAAAGGTAGGAAAGGACAAGGAACGAAAGGATGAATGGAAACAGGGAACTCAGGGAGTTACAATGCTGTTACATTGAGGAGATTGCAGCTAATGTCACAAAACAAAAAACTGAATAAATTGTTGAGTGGAAACTAATTTGTTCTTTAAACTTTCACTCAAACCACAGTAAAAAATAAATAATTCAAGCAAATAACATATGAGTTTAATTTTCCTATGTATTGAAGGGCATACATTTGCATAGTATACAAGTAATTTGTGCATTTTAAAATCTTAGGACTCTTCCAGAACTCAACTGTTCTTCTCTTTATTGGAACTCATAAAATCAAGAAACACATTCAGATGCAAAACTGTAGTGCAATTAGAATTTATTTATTCATTTTACACACCCTTATCAGATTTATGGACATGTTAATGATTACCTAAAATAAAGCATATGTTACAATAAATGTAAGTAAGGAGAAATTTTAAAAGGTTTGTTAATTCAATAAGCATCAGTTGAGTATCTCCTTTAATGTTTCTGAAGATGCTATACAGGGAAAGAAATGATTCAAGTGGATGTAATATCATCAAATCCCCAAAACAAATGAGTCATCAGCCATCAGAAGGTCCTGCTGGTAGTGTTATGAGATGAGCAGGTGTAAGCTATGTTTCTTTTCTCTTTTAAAAAATGTTAGAAAATTAGAACTTATAGACTACGTTGTGGTCAGACACTTTAAAAATGAAAACATAAAAATATTCCAAAATCTACAGCAGGGAGTCTCAGAGAGGTGTGATTTGGCAACATCTGGAGATCATTTGGGTTGTTGTCATGACTGGAGACATGCTTGTTGTGTGTAGAGCCCAGGATGCTAAACATCCTACAATGCACAGACAGTCACCATAACAAACGCCAGTAAGTGCTGGAGTTGAGAACCCTGGGTCTTAAATGATTTAATAAGCATTCATTTTTGCATAAACTCTTGTCTGACAGTCGTTATGACTGTGTTTTCAGACATGTGTTTTCCTAACTATCAAAAATAATGTCACCAGAACAAAGTTAATACACTTTACTTACAACTGCATTATTATGAATTTATATTTATAAAAATTACTAACAGCATATTTTCTTGAGTAACATTATATTGAACTTTGTTAGATGAACAAACTTTTACCTTCCTGTAATTTTGCAGCAATGATATTTCCTTTGTTTACTCAGTAACTATTTACTGAACACCTATTTTCTAGGTCCTGTGTAAGATGCTGAACTACAAAGTCCAATAACCACTTTAGTAGGGATGAGAGACAAAAGTAAACAAGTAGATTGTTGTTGCTATTCCCTTCAGGTTAATTCCTTCTCCTGGGGACCCCATGTATGCAGAGTAGATCTGCTCCACATGGTCCATGGCTGTGACCTTTCAGAAGAAGATTTCTAAACCTGTCTTCCCACACACCACAGCGTGGGTTCAAACCGCCAACCTTTTGGCTGACAATGGCATGTTTAACCATTTGATCTACAAAGAGATTCTTTGAATAAGTAGATACTATAACATAAGAGTTACTGCCAATTATATATCTGGTAGCGTAGTGGTTACGAATCGGGCTGCGAACCTTAAGGTCAGCGGTTTGAAACTACCAGCCACTCCACGGGAGAAAGATGAGGCTTTCTACTCCCCTAAGGATTTACACCCTCGGAAACCCTGTACAGGGTCGCTATGGGTCGGAACCGACTTGAAGGCACTTAACAACAACATATGTATATATATACTATATGTATATAGTATATATATGTAATTATATATATTGTACATATATATTTTATATATATATATATATAATTGGCAGTAACACTTATGTTATAGTATCTACTATAACATATATATAACACAATTAGCACTTTCAGCTAATGTTCTTAAGTGCCATCGATTCCAAGCAATAGCTACTCTCTATAGGGTTTCTGGGACTCCTGGTGTGATGCTGTGGGTTAATGCGCTAGACTGCAAAGTCATGTGAATTGCAAGGTTGACAGTTCAAACTCACCAGCTGCTCCTCGGAAACCCTATACATGGTTGCTATGGGTTGGAATTGACTTGACAGCATTTAATAACAACAACAACATAAGAGTTTCTGAGGGGAGGCTGGTTCAAACTTGAGGTTCAAACTAACCTTGTGTTCAGTTGGTAAGTAACCTGTTTTCTTAGTTTTACTCTAGGATAAAATAAACTACTATGTTGTTATAAGTGCTGTTGAGTTGGTTCTGACTCATAGTGGCCCTGAATAGGGTTTCTGAGGAGCAGCTGGTAGGTTTGAACTTCCGACCTTGTGGTTTGCAGTCCAGTGCTGATCCACAGCACCATACCAGAAGTTCAAACAAACTATAGAATATTCTTAAATATTTGAAAAATGTCAGACTTCAGGCGTACTAAGGAGAACAGGGCAATGAGGAAAATAAGGGGCATGAACTACAGGGTTTGTGTGTGTGTGTGTGTGTGTGTGTGTGTGTCTAAATCCACTGCTTTAGAAGAAAAATCATCTCTGAGGTATTTCTCCTAATATTGGACTTTTGTTTCCCCCTTTAAAGTGTTTCTTTGGAGAGCGGCAGTGTTTTCTTCGAACGTACTAGCTGGGATTGTATAAGAGTGGGGTCCTGGTGTGGTGCTGTATGATAAGCACTGGACTGCTAACCGTAAGGTCTGAGATTCAAACCCACCAGCCATTCCTCAGAAACTCTATACAAGTTTGCTATGAGTAGGAACCAACTCGATGGCACTTAGCAACAAAAAGTGCAATGCGGCTCATCAGATTACAAAACTAATCCAGGTCATAGTCCTCAGAGCTCCTAAATCTTGAGGTCCAAGATGGTAAAGGTTCATCCTCCCAGACCACCTATTACACCTTCCCCTGTCACCCTGCATAGAGTATGTGAATATTCCCTGCCATATGTGTAGCTCCAGTTAATAGGGGAGCTTTTTAAAGCTCTTCTCTTACCACTCTGATAGTTTATCTCAAAGGGTGGTGGTGGTTTGTAAATCACCTGCATTAGAATCACCTGAGGTGTCTGTTAAAGAGGGAGAATTCTAGGTCCTGCCCAAGAAGTTCTGGATCAAACTCTCAGGGAATGGGCCTAAAAGCCTGCCTTGCTAACAAATGTCACATGTAAATCTTACCGCATAATGTGAGAACTCTTGCTTTAATACATCTCCAATTATCAGTAGAATTTATGGGTCCTTGAGAATTGGAGATGGGATAAGGAAGGCTCTTACCATTATGTTTTGGGTCAATTTGTAGCTAGGAAATTTAATCCTCCAATTATAGGCTAAAATATATCTGCCAACCAAGTATAGTGAGCACTTAAGGAATATCTATTCAATCATTACTTGAGCAAAATTACATTGTACTTTCTTAGGGACGGTGGCTGCAAAACATTTAGATCCTTCTAACCTAGACAGTAGTGACTTTATTCTGAATGAGTTTTTAAATTTGTATAATATTGTTTACCATGTATACAGAATACTTTTAATTTTAAAACTATGAGAGTAGAACAAGTCAAACTTTATTTCGATGGCAAGCTTGCTCTAGTGCAGACCAAATCACGGGAGTTTGTCGAGTCAGTTAAATTTGCCTTAAAAAATTCCTGTAGAAAAAAAACAAGTGGATGAAACCATTAGCAGCAATAGAAAATGTAAATCCCCAACAAAAAGCTTACAAAGAGTTGTGAGGATCAAAAACGTTAACAGATGTGCTAGCAAACCCTAAATGCTACGGATGCTATGAGGTTATTCTAAGGTTGGGGGGATCTGCAGAAGGGTGCAGTGGTTAGAGAAAACCAGAAGGGAAAACAGTGAGGACACTAGAAGCATGAAGGCTTGATCAAAGAATCCTCCCAACAACCAGACAACTAAGGATTTTAAGAAATCAAAAGTTAAGCTGCATGACCAAAGATAAAAGGGACTTCTAGGCTTTTCAAGTATTGTGCCACCAAGTTACAGCTATTCTACCTTTATACTACTATCCTAACTTTGCAAATGCATTGTTAAACTCTAAAGTTGGAATCCGACCAAATGGTACAATCATTTACACCAGTATCAGTATGGAAGATTGGTCATTGGCTTAATTTTCCCTTCTTTCTTTTATTTTCATTTCCTTCTTATTTTCCCACCTTGGAAAAGCTGAGTTTGGGAAAACTGAACTAGAGTACATTTTTCCTTACATGTTTTTTTGTGGAAGTGTATATAAAGAGTAAATAGAAATAATAAACATTCTCCTGAGGACTTACTTCCCACGAGATTGTGCCATTCAGAAGGAAGTATGATGCCCCTGCCCACAAGTGTGTTAGTATGTGTGTGCATGTGTGCCTGGGTGTGAATGTGTGTGTGTGTCTGTGTGTTAGACGGGCATGGAGGGACTGTTCTACTCTTAGACCAAGACTTATCTTGCACCTATCCACAGTAGCATATTCCTCATCTGCAGAGAAGAAAGACTAAGAGACAGGAAGAAAGAGAAATTCACTCATTGAAATTCTCCTGACTTGGAGGTCAGAGCAGTTGGGGGAGGATTTATTCCAGAACTCGATAAATGAGAAAGAAGAGCTGAAGATACACTATCACCAGAAACTCACTCTAGGTGGAGTAGAAAGGTATGGCTGTTTTCAAAGACAAATTTGAGGTATTAGGTTTAAATTTTGTAGGAGATGGTGAAAGAAGGAAAACAGTAAATTGAGTACTGGCAAAGTCTTTTTAAAAATAACCTGTGATAGAAGATAACAAAGCAACCCTGGAAGCAAAAGGCAAAAATTACCTGTAAACAACCTTCTTTCCAGCTCTTCTTGAATTTTAAGAAGAATTCTCTCATGTGCTAAGGCTTCTATGTACTTTGAGTAGCACCAGGTGGGCTATAAAACAATTTTCAAAGTTAATTCTGGAAATTTTTGTCCCATGGAAGACAGATACTTTATTTAAGCTTTTTACTGACACAAAACAATATTATATTTATTATAGCATACATGAAGAAAAGTACACATAAAATATACAATTAGATGAATTTTCACAAACTGAACTTACTCATGTAACTTTTTAACTGGGTACTCCAAATTATGATTGATCAACTTTTCTCAGTTTAAATAGGAATATTTATGATAAAGTACAAGTGCTTTCTCTATAGCCCAGATGTAAAATTTTTAATTCCCTCGTGCCTGGTTGGAGTGAGAGAGGGATCTAATGTATTATTTTCAGTGAATCTATGTAACAGAAGTTTTGTAGTTATCTTGACAATTATTCTGTTACTTTTATATATTCAATCTGATTACTAACTTACTTGGAATACACCAAAGTTTGGGGGAATAGTTTTATATTTAGGTTGATTGCATGTCTAATCTAATTTTAATGTGTAAAATGTATCTGAAATAAATGTATATGTGGAATAGCTACACTTGCAAAGTAACAGTAGTTTATTATTTTACAAATTTTACATATATGCTTTAAATAATAATAATAATCTCTATAAACTGCTTTGGTTTTCAGTAGCTTTTCAGTTTTTTAAGAACAATTCTGATATATATAAAACAGAATCATCATCATCATCCCATTCTCTCTCTTTTTAACAAATGAGGAAACAGGCTAAAAGGAAATTAAGTGATCTTTTCAGGCTTCCAGGTAATAATGACTTTGCGTAAGTGACAGTAAAAAGGGTACACCTGGTTATTCCTAAGTCTAGATTTCTGCCTTTATTTTTACACCTGTGGATCTGAAATTAAATGCCAGTTACTCACTATACTGGCTACATTTCAGAATAACATTACTAGGTTATATCCTTTAGATATCTGAGTATCTGTTTCAATGCATGGTTTCACAACAACAGATATTTCTCATCTCAATAATAGTTTCATAGCCTATCTTATCCAGGTAACTGAATGTATTTGACATTCCTAAATACCAAAAAGGATTGCTTCTTGAAAGTTGTAAATGTACTTGGTGGTGGTCACATACTAATACATTTTCGGGCCATTTCAAAAAATTAAGAAATTGAGACGAAGCATTTGGCAGTCTTATATTTTCTTTCCCAAAAGAGTCACTTCAATTTTTGGAACTTAAATTTTCTTAAAGTGTATCAAGAAGTTCTTTTTTTTTTAATATTATCCAGATCAGCTGCTATGTTAATGCGCTCTGATGACTCGAAGACGCTGTTCTCTTTACCAGTCTTAGTATTATAACTTTAGCCTCATTTTAAAACTAACACACCTCTACTATTCAAAAATTACTGCGTTGCTGTCCAATACTCAATGCTGCACAGAGAAAGCAACAGCTGCTCCGTCCTTCCTGCTTACCTGGCGGCCGTATGCTTGCATGTCTAAAAGTGAGTTACTGGTCAAAGGAGCCGTTTTACAAATAGACCCTGAAATACCTCCATGTTGTTTGGCTCCATCCTGTAATTAAATTAAATGAAATTATTCTACCAAAGGGACGATAAAATGTTAGTATACACTTACAATTAAGGAGTCATAACCCCATATAATATTTTGTAAGCTCCACACCTAAGGTTT